TGGGTTGTGTTTGGTCCAGTTGTTAAAGTGTTCTCTTGTTGCTTGTTTTATTTCTTCTAGATTATTGATTATTTTGTCTGATGTTATAATCTTATCAAACGAGACCTGATCTTGATTATGTTTAAGTATACTGTTTATCATTTGAGATGTATTCGTCTCAATATCATTGTATCTTCTTTAAATATAAAAGTTTATTTTTTCTTTTTGAGCATTTTGAATTTCAAAGCTTCATGCTTTTTATAAGGTCTTTTGAAGGTGTTTTAGGAATTGTAAAAAGAACTGGTAGTTGGATTTAATATCTTGATTTTGATAAGAATTAATCATTAGGTCTGTGTAGAGTAATATTCATTATAGTAAAGTATTAGTATCTTTTATAACAAAGTTTATTGAAGTTGGAGGTCTTAAATGTCTGATATTTTTTAGACATTTGTTTGTAAGTTTGAGTGCCAAATGTAGTTTGGTTGCTTTGAAAGAGTAAGCATAATGTGTTTTAGGAGCTATATAAGTTTTTGGTATAATTTGGTTTGCAACTTTTTTGATTGAGTTTACTATTTGTTCCAAATTTTGTTTAGTTGTTGTATTGTTGAAATGTTTTGTGTTGAAGGTATTGGTTTGAATTCTAATTCGAGTGCATTGGTAAAATCTTTCTATTTGTCTATTGACATTTGGTGATATAAGTATATTTTTCTTTTTTTCTTCTTTGATCTTGGTATTTTTAGTTGAAAGTTTGTTTTCCATGTAGTAACAATTATCTTATGATCACTGTTTGTAATATCTACTGGATCAATAATTTTAGGTAAACTACAGTCTAGTAAAATTTCTGAGTTGACCCATATATTGTCTATTTGGCTTTGGTTTGATCCTCTTTGCCATGTAGGTTTAGTTATTGCATAGAATTCTATTAGGCTGATAGATAATAGTGATTGAAGTGTGATGAAGAGATTTGATATTCGTTTAAGATGATTATGGTTATTGTTAAAGTCTCCTATTGTAATAGTATGCCAATTGTGGCTTATTGCTTGAGATAACCAATTGTTGACTGTGTTTTGTATAGTTTTAAGTTGTTCCAGATGGTTTGATAAAAGGTATACTAAAATAAGACAGAGCTTATTGTTTGATAATAAATGAAAATTAATACTTATTGCTATGCCTGCTACTGTTTGTATATTAAATATGTAAGGTTGAAGTTTATGATGAAGCATGATTGCAGTTCCCATACTAGCTTCATATTGAGTATTATCTTTTGGTTCAAAGTTAAATGTGTAGATTTTATATAGTAGATTGGAAAGTGTTGAGATTGAAGAGTTTTTGAATTTGGTTTCTGTGATTGAGATAATGTAATAGTTGTTTTTGGCACAATATTCTAATCAAATCTGTAGTTTTAGTGGTTCATTAAGTCCTTATACATTGTGAGTTACAATATTGAGATGATCCTTAATATCTATAAGGCTTTCGTTAGAAGAAGTTTGTAGTGTATTAATAAAGTTATTATTGTTTACTTAAGAAAATAATGTGTTTTGATTTTGGGTTATTGAGGTTGAGTTATTATCTTTTTTAGTTGTCATTTATTTTGCATATGGGCAAAATATTCCCAGTTGGGTTCTGGGAAAGGTGAAAGTGCGAGAAGAAATTTAGAAATTTCTTTTATTGTATAGTGTTCTCTTAATGTTTTTAAAGTTTTAGTTGCTTTGTTTTGTTAAGTAATAAGTAATTCTATATTTAACATTTCTGTATCTTTTGTATTTAGTTCTTTTTGTATTTTTTCAATTGAGTCTGGAATTTCAGGTTTTTGGTCTGATAATGTATCCAACCCACTGTCTCGTAAATGTGTACCAGTAGTTATTTGGATCCAGCTGTCTGGTATTTTTTGAAAGTAGTATGTTTGTTTTAACATTCTTGCTGTTTCTGTAAGTCTTTTAGATATATCGATTGGTAGGGTTAGATTGTAGTCTGTAATTTCAAAGAGGTTTACAGATAGTCTGGATTTGTCGATTAGATTTGCTGTCATAATTGTTTATAGAAAAGGTATAGTAAGCTTATATGTACTTTTGATTTCATTTATGAAGTTTTTTGCTATTGTGTCATTAGTAATTAGAAAGGAGTAAGTATTTGTAGTTTTGATTTTAGAGGGGGTCTTTTGGAAGGTTTGGTTTTGCTTTAAAGTAATCATTTGATATGACTTGAAAGGTGTAATGCTCTCTTAGCCATGCTGTTATATCTTTTATGTCTACTAAAGGGTCTGCTCTATTAATTGGGAAGTGTTGTCTAAGTTGTGGATCTTCTATATCTTGATATGCCTATGGTAACAAGGGTTTCATAGAGATGGGTGGTGGTAATCTAAAGTAGTGACTAGGTATTTCTTTACAATCATAGTGGTTTTGAAGTCATTTCTTATATTATGCTAGTCTTGTAAGTTCTTTTCTTTGTGTAATTAAAAATAGATTTTTTATTGCTTCATCTAAGTCTTCTGGATTTGTTAGTAAGGGTGGAAGTTTGGCAAAGTAGGTTTCTGGAAGTTTTTCAAAGGAATAGATTTTATATAAAGCTGTGACAATTGCTCATGCCTGAAATCTATGTTTAATTGGTAGAGTAAAAGAAAGGATATTTTGTATTTCTTCTGAAATAAGTTCTGATGATTCGGGTAGTTTTGCCAAATATAATGTTAGGGCATTATTTAATGCTTCTTGAATTGCTTTTGTATCTATTGCATTTTTGTCTTTTGTAAAACCTTTGTAATATTTTAGAACCTTTGTTATATGTTTGGAAGGTTGGGTCTTGAAGTTCAAGTTTGTTGTATAGTCTATAATTAACTTCTGTCTCAGTTTTATATGAATTAGATTTCGGGTGTCTCTGTTGGTAATAGTAATTGTATTAGTGGTTTTGTAATTTTTTAGTACCTTTGTAAACATTTGGTTGTATTCTGTTTGGTGTGATAGCATGAGTAAAGGTTGTAAAAAAGGTTGGATCAGTATGTCTAAATTTTGCTTTAGATGCAGGAAAAATTGGTCTTTCAGTTGGCTTTGTTTGTAGTTTGTGTTTAATAAATGCTTGCATCTTTTCTTTGGATTTATATGCTTCAATTATACTATCATATGACCATTCTTTGCTATTGAAAAGTGTATTAATTTTGGCCTCCAGATTGTTGTTTACTTGTTGAGTCCATGTTTCTGTATAGTCAGTTTCCATTTCTGTCATGTCACTTACACTTGCATCTTTTTGGACAATTTGACTATATGTAGGTTTGTTGTTTGTGTTTAGCATCATGGGGTTGTTTGTTTGTTCTATTTTGGTATTTATTTGGTTGTTTTGTTCTAGTTCTGTGGCTTGGTTGCTATTTGCTATTGCTTCATAGGGATTTTGCATTTCTATTGGTGTAGATTCTATGTTGTGTTGGTTGCTTATTTCTATATCTGGAGTTTGATTCTATAGCATGGTTGTTTGATTTCCTTTTATGACTATGTGAGCTTGTGTGTTATGCGAAATAATTACTGTGTTGTTTTTTTTTTTCATGGTATTTGTTGAGATGTTGCTGTTGCCGGTTTGAGTTGTATTGTTGTTTTGCTGGTTTGCTTGAGATGACATCATTGCTTGTTTTGTAGGGAGTATACCATATCACCCACTTTTGTTGCTGACTGGAATTTGAGAAGAAACAGTATGTCTTTTTTTATTGTATGCATCTTTGTATGTGACATCTAGGTTGGTACAATATTGTTGCTGTCTGGTAGAATATTTGTAGTTGCTACTTATTGTGCCTAGAGTTTTTGTTTTGTAACTTTGCAGTACTGCTGGCCTTGATAGTCTTAGTCTGCCTTCATGGTTAAATGTATAGAATTTTCTTTTTTTATTTTTGTCTTGTATAGTTAAAGTAATTGTATCTTTGCTTTGTATTTTGTATGAGTAGTTTTTCTGCCCAGAGTGGGCTTTTTTATTTAGGTTTTCTTCTATTATATTCACTATTTTTCTATTTTATGTTTTTTGCCTTTGCCGATTTTTATATTTCGAAATCTGCAGGGGAGAGTTTTTTTTACTGTTCTGCAAAAGTAAAATATATCTCCAGTAAATATTATTTTTTTATATATCTATATATTTTTAAATATAATAAAACATTTCAAAACATTCTAAGATATTCTGGAATATTTGTATATTTTTCATTATATATTAACTACTATATGTATAACTAATAATTTAAAATATTTCGAAACTTTTTGAAACTTTTCTTTATATGTGATAATAAAAATATTTCTGCAAAGCAGAACATTTACATAGTTGATATAGGACATATCCATAAAAAATATTATAGTACTAATGCAACATTTCTTTTGGATGAAATGATTCAAGAAATTAAAGGATCAATAGGTATAATACCTGATGCAATAAATACAATGGCAAAAAAATATTGCATATCTCACTCTCATGTTGTTAATTATATTGAAAATTAAGAATACTGACAACAAATAAATAATAGATTATGAATTGAAAGTGAGGTTTTGTTGCAGAACAAGTCCTTAAATAATTCTTTGAATTATAATTCTCTGAACCTACAACTGGAATCTACCACTCTCAATACAGAAACAAAAAAGAGAAGATCCAAATCTCAGACTAATTCTGTATTATATATTAATAAGCTCTGCTCTCATATATCTAATTTAACATCTACTAATAACTCTATAGAAAAAATAATTAGTGAGAATCTGGATGCATTATATGAAAAAAAAGCCAGAAGAGATGAGAAAAATAAAGCAAATATGACTCGCCTATTAGCTACTACTTAGTCTATCTTTTCTTTATTTATGCTATTATTTCTAGAGGAGATATGTTCGAGTAGCTTTTCATAACATATTTGCAACTTTTCACAAAGATTATTTATTTCAGCTTTAGAGGCAAGGGTAGTATATAGTGATTTTTCTAACTCCTCATAGCTCATGCATTTTTTTTAAATGATAAATCAACAAAATCTGAGCTAAAATCTGCAGGAGCATGCTATTTCTCCAATAGTATACTGTCATTCTTATCACTATCTACTTTCTGTGAAATTTGACCAGATACCAAAGGCTTAGATGTAATAGTATTCTCATTATGTGAGCCATCTTGAGTTACAGTAGCATAATTTACTTCGAGCTTATTCTTCACCTTATGTATAGTTACAGGAAAAATATGATCCTTTCCATTGTAATGAATCTTTATTTTATCATTATTCTAATCAATAACACATTCATATTTCTTGAGAAGTTGGTTTGAAAATAGTAACATTGGCTTGGAATTTTTCATAACTACAAAATTCTTATATATAGTACAATCAGAAGTTAGTGTTATTAGTAAATTACAAATGATACCAATAGACTCAATTGGAATAGTAGCAATACTACTAAGGTCAAACTTCACAGATCTATCAATTTTTCCATTTATATGCTTAACAATATCTTCTGTTACGATCTCAGTTTCAGCCCCACTATCAAGTATCATTGCTAGAATTTTTAAATACTTAATTTTGCATGGTATAGTCACAATACCTGTATCAGGTTCTTTCTGACAAACAAAATTAATTTTCATAGGGTCATCCAAAGTCTCATCTTCATCTGAATTGAATATTTCTGGAGTTGGTTCTCAATAATTATTATCTTGAATATAGTATGATTTTTCATTATTGAAATTGAGCTCCTGCAATAATGAAGGTAAAATATCTTTAAGTTCACTTTGGATAATTTTATGAATAGTTTGTTTAAAATGTTTGCTTACTTCTACTCTTCTTGCGAGACTTAGGTTCCTTATTGATCTTGTGAGATTTGGATACCTTCTTAGATAATGATTTGCTTAAACTACTCTTCTGGTTTACTTTTTTTTGCTCTGGTAATGTTAATATTCATACTCTCAGTTTCAGAGAAGATGTTATCGGAATCAGACCCAGAATTAAAATTATTATCAGAAGAGTTAGAATCTGAATCAAAACCAGAATTATTTATAGCCATATTAATTTTACCATTTTTATTCTTGCTAGATCTCTTGAAATTTTTAGATTTCTTTCTAGAACACTTACGAGAATTGTGTCTAGTTCTATTACAATTTGAACAACAGTGTTTAGATGATTTACTAATAGCATAAACTCCTGCCTCAAAACCTTTTGACAAAGCCTTATTTATTGATAACTTACCCATATGATCAGCCAGTTCTTCATTAGAGTCCACTTCAATATTTTTCTTTAATTGCACTGGCTTTGCCGAAAACATATCTGACACTTTTTTATAAAGATCATTAGCTAAAGATTCTATAATTCAGCTGGCTGAAGAAGTTGGGTTTATAAGATCACAATGAATAAATTTTTTGGAATTTATGTCATATTTATCTGGTGGTCTTTCTGGCATATATTTATCTGGTACTCTAAAGTAGTTACTAAAATTGGGTTGCTTTTGCTAAGACTATAAAGCTTGTGTTTTCTGGACTTGTAAAGACTGAATAGAAGAAGTTGGTACTAAAGCTAATTGTAATTTTATCATACTATCTAATTCAGCTCGAAATATACTACTACTATCAGAACATGATTTATTTTGTATATTAACAGCTGAAGTTTGAGAGATTTGATCAGGAATAGAGCCTTTATACAAATTTAGAAGACATTCTAACTACATATTTTTAAGTTCTGTAAAAAAATGCATTAATGTCACCAGGGTTAGCGATTTTTATCTAAATATAAAGCTTTCCTGATAAATGATCCTTAAGAAGTCCTAAGATATTGGCATCACTATCAGCAACTCCTAATAAAAGAGGATGAATTCTAGTCTCATATGATTCTAGATTATCAAATAATAAGAATTTTTCTTGTGCTAATCTTTAAGTAATGACTTGTTATGTACAAACTGTTTCTGTTTAATATTTATGACGCAACCAAACAATGAAATGGGCTAGAGTATCAATATTATTACCAGCATGTTGGGTGGGTATATTTGTATATTTTTTAGCTATCTTACTTTTTAAAATATCTGCTCAAAGCAGATCATCAAAGGCAGTTACTGTAATTGATAGTAAAGTTAATATTTGATTAATTCTTTGAAACTATTTATCTGATAGAATTTGTCTACTATAATTTGGAATCTCTGCAATTAATAGTGCAATATTAGTTAAGTCTCCTGCAACTGTAGTCATATTTGGTAGATTATTATGTAACAATAAAATTTGTGCTTGTAAATTATTTATTAATTGTTCAAAATTTCGAGCATGATTTTTCTACTTATCCTACTTATTGTTCAGTTGAACATCAGCAAGTAATAAATCATTTTCTAGAGTCTTGCATTTATTTTTCTATTTGCTGTATTGATTTTTTGTAAGATTTAAGAGGTGCATAGTAATTGCTTTATCTGTCTTATATTTTTGTAATTGCTGTTGTGTTCATCTATTCTTAAATCCTAATGCAAATTTTTCTAGAAGCAATTTTGATATTTGTCTTTTTTGCATATGAATTATAATTCGACCATCAAGTTCTTGAGATTTAAATATATTGTGTTGTGTTCTGTAAGCTTCATAGGCCTGATAAAGAAGATTGTAGTTATTTTAAAGTGTTGCTAACTGGATTTGTGAATTAGTTAACTGGGTCTGCAAATCTACTACTTGATTTTTTGCATAAATTGTGTGAGCATTTGCCTGTGGATATATATCTAGTACTAATCTTTTAAACCTATTCCTAGCATCAGAAATTATATTAAAATAATTCACAATATCATTAATTGTAGGTGTTATTATGATTGGGCTTTAAAAATACCGTCTAATATTATTAATCTCTCACTGAATCCTATTATTCTGGATCATAGTTTGGTTTTCTGGCAAAGATAATTTGGGTGATCCTGGTTGTTATGCCATATCTATAGCAAGGTTATAGTTCTTCGAATCTATATTATTGTTGCCATTTTTATATAAAATAAGTATTTTTATTTTTTCATTAAGCTTGTCTATTTCATTTTAAAAAATTACTAACTGCTTTTTAAATAGTCTATATAATTCTCTCAACTTTCAAAATCTCGAAATGTTTTTTCTAACTGTTCTTTAATATAAGAAATTTTCTGTCGTAATAGATCTAGTTCTCTATCTCGAATCAAAATTTCATTTTCGAGATATTTAATATAACTCTTTTTTAAGTCTAGATCTCATTGTAATTTACAGAATCGATTTTTTATTATCTGCAAACTAGCTTCAAATTTTTTGATTGTTTTACTAGGTAGAGACACTATTGTATTTAATGGCATTATACAAGCCTATAATATATCGACGCTTCTGAAAACTTTATTAAATAATACTTTATTAATATAGTAAAATGTATCAAAAATGAACTAACCTAATATCATAATTAGTACCGACGAGGAGTTGGCCCTAGTTTGTCAGTTATTATTCTATCAACCTACAGGTTATCATTCTAATGCTTGATTATTACATAAAGATCTCAAGAAAGAAGGTTACTGTTTCCTATATAAAAAAGTTCGTAAATGGTTGTATAATCAAAATGAATGACAAAAGTATGCTCTATTACCAAAAAATATTTTACAAGTTAGTTATGATAAAATTTCATGTCCAAATTGTGTATATATGTATAACTTCCTATTTCTTACTCATAATAATTACAAAGGTAAAAAATGGATAGTGGTGCTTAATATAATAGATGTGACTAGCAGATATAAAGCAAGTATTCCTCTTATATCAAAAAAAAGTTCGAAGGTTGCTAAAGCATTCAAGAAAATTTATAATGATCCCAATAACCCTCTTATATACCTAACACTTTTATAATGTGATGACAGGACAGAATTCAAAAAATCAGTAAGTCAGCTAATGAAGGCACATTATGTTACAATTTAAGTAATTGGTGCATATTCACATCGGGGCTTACTCTTATTAAAAGATTTAATAAAACTTTAGCAGAGATACTTTACAAGATCCAATATGTTGTCGAAAGTATAATCTTGAATCCTAGGTCAATAAGAGTATAGGTTAAGTATTTGTCAGAAGTAATAGATTATCTTAATAATTATCTGACTCATCTTATTCAGGTTCCAGGTTCTTCAAAATGGGGATTGGCCCCAAAGGAGGCCATCAAATTAGAAAAGGTTAAATCTCGACCATCCACAAAATATAAATGTCCCATTGAAAAAAAAGAGGAGAATAAATTAAAGAAGGGTGATACAGTTCATTATCTGCTTGCTAATGCAGAATAGGAAGGAGGTATAAAGAATCAGAAAAAGGTGACAGATCCTATATTCAGACCAAGCCTTCATAAAATCTGCAAAATCATAGTCTCAAAAAATGAACCTATTTTATATTATCTCAGAGACAATGATGATGAATATCCTCCAAAGTGAGGATTTGTAAGAAAGAAGCTCATATATGTAGATTTAGAAAAAGTTCAATATCCATTCCAGAGTATATTGGAAGAAAAAACTCATTCCAGATCTATTAATTTTGTTTATATTATTAATAAAATGTCTAAAGCCATTACAAATGCTAAGAAGCATAGTGGAAAATGTCTTGGTAAAACTGATCAAATTAACAGAATGAATGTATATTTTTGGTCATATGCAAACGAAATCCATCAATAGGAAGCACCTTATAAGACCCAGAAATGTAAATTCAAGTGGTGCCCACTTTGTCATCATACTAAAGAGTGCAGTTGTCAATATATATTTGAAGATTTGCTAGGTAAAAAATTCCCACTATATTCAGATAAATTTTTGGATGGCTTGCATTTGGATTGTTATAACAAGGAATTAAAATTGGCTTTTAAATTTCAAGGATCCTAGCATTATTTCGAGAATCCAATGTTCCATAGACAAGAGAGGATTGATTTGGATGAGCAGAGATAAAGAGATTAAAAAAAGTAACATATGTCTCATTGAAGTAGCTTATGATTCAAATTTATTTTCCTATATCAAAAGTGAATTGCAAAAGAAAGATTATTTTTCATATAAAGAATAAATATTACTTATCTTGGTTAGAATAAAAGATAATGGCATGCCCATATATGTATACAATATTGATGAGACGTCTAACAATTCCTCAGAACAAATAAAAGGTAATAAGTATTCTCCAGATGCCTCTTTCAGATTACTGGTATATGGGGGTTCTAATAGTGGAAAAACAAATATGGTTATTAATCTTATGTTAGATAAAAAGCTCCAATATATGTTTAATAGAAAAAAAGATAATTGGTATATTAAGAATGACAATCTGGTATTGATAGAAAAACATTCTGAACCAAAATGGAAATTAGTAAAAAATGCATATCAGATCTTCACAAATGCCCCTAAACCATATTGAGAAGATGTTACATTTAAAAGAATATCTTCAGATAAAATTCTAGATATAACTAAATTCTTTCTAGAATGAAGTATAATTGTTGTATTTGAGGATTTATGTGCTGAACCAAAGAAAGTACAAGAATGAATTATTCCTTACTTTATTAGTGGTCGACATCAAAATATCTCACCCATATATGTAAGCCAGAAATATACCCAAACTCCAAAAATTATTCGTGAAAATATCTCACATTTATACTTATTCTGGGGAAGTGGTAGTCGAGATAATATTAGCAGAATCATATGCCAGTATACAGATGATCCAAAAAAAGCATCTAAAATTATTGATAAACATTTAAGAGATCGAAATTTTGTAGTTTTTGATTTTACTAAAGCAGTAGAAGATCTTTTAAGTGTATGGCTTAGTTGGGATGCACCCCTGAAATTAGATGAATAGAACAAGCTTTGGCCATGCCAGCTCTGCTAATAATTGAATAATTATTTTTTTTTGTTATTTGTTAATAAAGTTATATAATTCATCCTACCTGCCACTTCTTATAATATTAAAAAGATGCATGTCTTTAGCCTGTATTGAAATTGGAATAGATGTAAAAATAACAAACTCGATATATTATCTGTAATAGGAATTTTGGTGTCCTGTAAAATGTGCTTAAATATAAAAAAAACTGTTACTAGCTTTCCTTTAGAAAAGATAATGAAATAAAGTCTAAAGTACTAGCCCTCAGGAATACTTTAAGTTGTTTTATTTTAAATAAATATATATATGAATAAGTTATATAATTAATAAATCGAATAAATAAATTAAATCAAATAAATAAATATATGAATTGCTTTGCAGATATGGTCTATACATTGTTAATTTGGTGCATTTCCTCTCAAATTCCCCATAAGAGTTTATAATGTTAAGCAAGTTCTGTTGCACACATACCTTCAGGTCTGTAGAAATACTCTAGCCATTTTTTCTGTATAGTTGTATATGCTCAGATCTTTTTTGCTGTTTCTCGAATATGTTTAACTCTATTGATAAGATTCTCTATTCGTAATTCATATCGATAAATAGCTAACCTTGTGTAAATATCACTTTCAATTCTGGTTTTTGTTTAAGCTCTATATACTCTTTGAAACATATATCACAATATCTATTTCCAGTATAATTTGTACACCAATGTTTCTCCATCTTATAATTGTGATATAATTCATATTCTACTTTTTTATCAATATAAACAAACTGATTACAGCTATAACATATAGCAATATTTACTTTAACAGTCATACAATAACTAAATCCTTCTGTAGATTCTATCTTTCTGGCAATAAGATATCACTTATTGTAATTAGTCAATTTATTGTTATTTCTATAATTCACTAATTGGTTCCAGATTCAGTTCTTCCAATTAGATAGTGTTTCCCCATCACGAATTACTGGAAATTGGCAGTTATCTCTCTACTCGATATCATTTAAAACTGGACAATTATCTGTATAGACTATATTTAATGATTAAGTAATTTAATGTATTATAGTGTTTTTAGAAATTATGTGATTTATATCGTATTTAGAAATTTAGACCTATTTGATTTAATAACTATATACTAATGAATATTGCAATTTATTTTTGTGTCGTCAGAAAATACACTTGTTGGACTTTTTGTAATATATATAAAAATGGCTGAAATCATTATCATTCAAGTTTATCCTGCAGATATGCAATTGGGCCTGTGCACTCAATCAAGTTCATTACTACATTAAGAAGAATGTTAATCATACTCTAAATTATGATTTAATATTTATTGTCTTGTATTTCGCTGACAAGCCTCACTTTGTAGGTTTTAGATCTTTAAGCAGTTTGAGACAAATATAGTATTATAAACACTAGATATCTTTAGATCCAAACTTGAAAATTTAACACTTACCAAGATTAGCTCATCTCGAGTTTTTTAATTTTGGTAGAGATTTAGAACCAGACTTGGAAGAATATCTATTTTTTTGCAGTAACTTTACCTTCTTTTTATCACTATTTATGTTTATACCCATTTTGTTATCTGAATCTGAATCACAAAATAGAGAGCCAAATTATCTATTTTGTTTAATCATAATGCTATGTATAAAAAATACGACACTATGACATATGCCTGCGAAAACCAGAAGATTCTTGTGAACTAAAATGTTCGATCTAAAAGCAATAGCTTGCTCCTGTTTTGCATATATTATTAGTTTTAACTCAGGAAATACTAATTGTCTACCTTTAAATGTTCCAAGTAGGTATACAACACAGAACGAATTGTGGTAGTCTTTTAGATCCTAATAGAATTGGCAAATAGCATTGAAATTAATTACTATAGTAGGAAAGTCTCCAAACGATTTAGAGATGTTTGGTCCAAGATCAAGTTTTCTCATTTTTGTATACAAGGCCAAATATGTTTCCTTAATATAACCATTAACAGCATCAGATAATGGTTGAAAGCCTTGTATTAATCCTTGAACATATTTTAAATAACCTTGGTTGTGAGATAAGGCAGTATTTGATGTTGTATAAGGTTCATTGTTATTACCTGTAAAAGCACCAAAATGCTTTACCAATTCTTTCGAAAATTCTTTGGACTGGTGAGACGGATTATTAAGCATGTGAATATAGTATTGTTCTACTGCTATCTTTGCACTTTTGGTAATTCTGGAACTCTGAAAAGTGTATAAATCCACTATTATTTCCCCAAGAGCATTCTTAAAACATTGTGGGTCAAATATATAGTGATACCTTTTTATATTAACATCTTCCTTAGACATCTTATCAGTTAATACACTAGCAATAATTTGCTTGTCTTTTAAATTTCGACAAAGTGCCTCAGATATTGTTGTTTGCTTTAGTGAAACTTTTCTGCTTTTACATGTTGCTGATATGCATGCTTTATCTTAGACCAGGGGCACTGACAATAGTTACAAATCTGCTTTATAATAGAAGAACTGATTGCAAAAAATGTCCACAAAGCGAATTGCTTCTATGCTAAATCAGAATTTTTATTTGTGGGTTTGGTGTGATCAAAAATTTCTGATTCTAGTAAATCAATAAATTCAGCAGATATTTGAAAGGCAGTTAAAATGGAATGAATAATTTGTGTAGTTTGGAGTGATAGTGATTTTTCTGAATTGTATAATTTACTTCAAATATTTTCTAGATCAAATTTGGAAAGAGCATCATATTTAAGAGAAAAGGTGTTTTGCTTTATAGCATCTAATGGAAGCAATTTTTGGTCCAGTAGCATCTTAATAACTTCTCGTTGCCATCTTCTTTCTGCAAATTTTTTGAAAAAGGTGATCTTTGGATCCATTAAAAAAATGGATTGCAAATCATTTTTTGACTTAAGATCACTCACCATAAAATCTTCAAATTTCCAGTAAGATAGAATATATTCACGTGATTTGCTTTTAGATAGACAGGTCTCGCTTTGAGTCTTGTGCTAAAAAATATATATTCAAAAAACCAGTAAATTGATATACAAAAAATACTTTATATTGAATAGTAATAAAATCTTCTTAGTGGATACATTTGAATCACTTTCAGTAGTGTGGTTTGTGGAGTTTAAAACCTATAAAGTCTGTGTCACCTTTCTCCTTACACACGCCTCATATCAAGGATGATGATCATGCCCGAGATGAAAAAATAACTTTATATAAGGAGAGAATACTCAGATCCTAGGCCTGCCTCGAAAGGTAAAAAGTACCCCTAAGAAGACTATACTATAAATAATAGAAATTTACTTGTATCAAAATTAATTAACTTACTTTTAGAGAATCATAAAAAATATCTTCTCTTATATTGGCCAGATTAATATTAGATGTGAAATTAGTATTATCTTCAATAACAGAAATATCATGGTTTTCAAATTTGGCTTTTTTTATCGCACGATGGTCTTTTTTACATAGATTTCTTTTAGAGGCCTTAGATAATAACACAACAGGTTTATTTTGGGATGATATAGTAATTATACAACAAACAAGTAATTTTTATAAAGAAATTTTTTAAGAAAAAAAGCAAAATTGAAATAGAACTTAATATTAAAGATGGTCCTATTTATTGGCTTATTCATTAGAGATTGTAATTTATTTTTTTGCATTTGCATTGACACGAAGCAATATGTAATATAAATGACTTGGCATTGTGATAATTCAACATGAGTCAACTACTAATTGCTATTTGGTGTCATATAAACAAATAATTAAATTGTTTACTAAATTTGACACTACAATTATTGAACATGGCAAATCAATCAACATTTACATATTTTCTATATTTGGGATTATTGTACATTGTTTAATAACCTATTAAGAGATGCATTTGGCTACTTTAATATTTAGTTGTTAATTGTCATATATAGTGCCATGTGACAAACAAATTTAAAATATACATTTGATTGAGGTCATAGATAGGTTTGACTACAAAAAGAATAAATTAATTAATAGCGTATTATTTGATCTTTAACTTTGAATAAGCTATATTGCTATGAATCAAGGATCTGGAAGTACTGCTTCCTTACATAGTATATCCAAAGTTAGAAAAAAAATATATCATAATTGTTTACTTGAATTTTTTTATGCCAACAAATTCTAACCCCTGAGAACTATTGTATTTCGCAACAGTCAGTAAAAATTTATAACGAATCATGTGATTTATATAATGAATTTTCATGCATTAAAACTTCTACTATGAATTGATATTTTTTCCAAAACTATAAAGATGTAATTTTATTTATTATCCTAAAAAGACTCAGAAATAAAGATAAAAATACATCTAATACTTATATATTACAGAATGATTGCAATAAAAGCTATCCTCAACATATGCCAAATGAAATGAAATATCATTTATATGCTAAATATATTTTCCTAAACTTTTTTAATCCAGGTTAACTGTTTACCAGAAGGTGTGATTTTTCCATGACCATCTTTAGATAATTTAGAAGGATCTGACTGATGGCCTCCATATAGGATAAACTGACCAAGGTCAGTCTGTTCTTGCTTACTAAACATTTTTCCATTGATGTAAAGATGGATCTGAGGGAAGACACTGCAAGAGACAGTAACAGAAACTTGATGATTACAACAAACTTTTATATCAACATAAGTAAAAATAAATGGCGCATCCATTTTTGTCATATACTGCTGTTTATATTGTGCATCATGTGATAACCAATAGTTCTAAAATCAAGAATATTTAAGCAAGTATCATTATTATTGAATGTTTTAGGTTTTGATTAAAACCTGATGAATGTGGAGTCTTCTGTGTAAATATTGGCTGATTCATATTTATAAGTAATTGGATTATGCAAAAGGAGATTAGATATTTTAGTATACTTATAAGGATTGTGCTTGGCATCATCACATTGTTCTGTATTTTTGGTCAGATTTTCTTTATTATGGTAATCAGGATCATAGGGATTAGCAATAACAAGTCTACCTTTAGCATCATACTTAATGTTAAAGCTGGGAATATGGAATATCCTCTGTATTCTTTTTTTCTGGCCCATTTATCAAAGTTACTACCTATGCCATTTATGTCAGAAAAGAAGGTGGGTGGATCATCATTTGCTGACAATTTTAATGCTCCATAGGCTAACTTTCTTAGAGCATAACCTTGCACTATATCATTCAACTGTTTGTCACAATAATTAAAAAAATTCGGATTATTCTTGATGTAAGAAATGGTAAGAATGTTTGATATTTGAAAGGTTACTGCGATTCCTCCAAACGTGTCTCGAAGCAAGAAGGTAACCAAGATAATAATAACTTTGCCAAGCATGACAGCTTTTAAATGATTATACTATAACAGTAAGACCAAAGAACAAAAAAGCTTAATGCAAATTTATTGATTTATTTATTTGGTTTATTTGCAATGTTATGAATTTGTTTAAATAAAAACAAGTGTTATATTTGATAAAAATTTTTATTTCTCCTGAGTATTTAACAGAAAGGCATGTACACAAAAAATCATATATAATCAATATATCTATTCTCTTGTAATGCCAAAACATGTAAAAAGAACAGTTTAAATTATATGCAAGAAATTTACTACACATGATGATAAATTACATGAATAAATATATATTACTATGTTGATTAGTACCTTAAACTATTCTTTCTAAAAATGACTCAAAGAAATATAAACAAAAAAAATTCAATTTGCTTTACGAAAAATTACCCAATTATTCAAATTTGTGCCAGATTAAAATAATTATAATTTTGTTAATACCTATTTAACATAGAATTACACCCTAATGAAACACTGCAGTTAAATTTTATTTGATGTAAAAATGAAAATATCATATTTAAACTTTCTGACTTTTAATCTGATTCACATACAGTATATAGTAAAAGTTAAATAATTCACTATGCATGATATAATCTGATATCAGATGTACAAATTAATTTGTATTAGAATGAATAACAATAAGTTATATGATATAACTTTTCTAATACGTTAATATCTGCAAGTATATATGCTTTATTTTAACACAACACATACATGTATAACACAAGTTCACAAAAATTCAACTATGATTTTTTTAGACCAAATATTTGAAATCCAATGAACATTTATATTACAAATTTAGCATAATAGATCTTATATTTCACCTATTCTAAACAGTACTTCAACAAGTCAACAAAATTAAGTATACAGTTTTTGTTACTTTTCTGCAAAATTATTTCTCACAGTAAATTTTTGATTTATAATGAATATTATGAATTTCTGAAAAGGCTTTTCCTATTATATACGATTTTATGATAAGAAAAAGCGTGAATAAAACTTAAAAAGGCTATAAGAGTAATAAGTATAATGTTCTTTATCAGTAGTTTTGTTAAAATTCATATGTTACAGGGATTTTAAATTCTCAGATCAGTGAAATCATTGACTTTTTTACTTCATAGTCCAATCGTTGAATCTAAGGAAAATTTAATTTACCTAAAAAACATCAAAAAAGATCAGTATTTAGAACTTATAACTGAACAAAGTTTCTTTATTCTGCTTTATTTTGTTATTTACACTTAAGTTACTAATTATGTAACTTTTTTTTCTGATAAGTTTCTTAGAACTAGCGAATGGACAGTATAAAAATAAGCAATTTTTTTGTTTCTTGTAGATGGATTATAATAATATTTTTTGCTCATATATGATTTTTTTACCCGACTATAATTTATTTTTAAAGTAATGTTATTTTATCTAACAGCGACTATGAAACTGAATTTTTACTTATTATATTTTTTTATTTAGAATGAAAAAATGAGCAATAAAAAAACTGCCATCACCAAGACTAATGACATTACCACCAATGACACCATCACTAATGATAATAATGCCATCACGAGTAATAACATTACTACTTCTATGACTAATAACAATAACCCCTCTGAGACCTATTATGTCTCCTCAACACCACCCAATCCAAAACCTAGCCAAAGGACATCTAATTCCAATCATCAACATAGAAGTAGAAGAAACCAATATGGCAAGTAAAATTCTGCTAAAGTTAAAGGCAATTAAGTATATTAGTATAACTTTTAGTAAAACTGAAAAAATATAATTTATTATATTAATTTAGATAATTTGACCTATGACCCCAAAGAAGATGATGACTATAACGTTAATGAAGGCAGACCTTTGGATAATTTTTCTGAAGAATATTCAGAATGGTGTAAGGAAAATGATTCCAATGAGTATAAGAATCCTGGACAATGACAAGAAAGGCTAAATCAAAATTAATAAATAGTTCATATTTTTGTCTGCAGTATGCAACTGTGATGTATTTTTTTATTTGTATATTGTTGCTCTGATAACATTTTTATGAAATAAAGAAAGGAGTCAATGGCATTGCCATTTTTTATTTTAAAAAAATATATATATCGATGTGCACTATGAGCTACAGATGTAATATTTTCTATTTCTGACTTGTGATACTCTATAGAAAATCATGCCTCCATTGTTATGCTTTTATTTAGAAATTTAAGTGCATTATTCCAAGGAATAGGTAATGTGAAGGATTGAGTCTTTAACTCCTGAATTAACAGAATAGGCTTCTAGTATCTTGTCGAATAGGATCTCTGAGTCTTTAATATTATTACAATACAAATAATAAAATTTATTGCCTTGATTATCTGACCACTGCTTACCTTGCAAACTCATATAATTTTCTTTATATAGTAGACAATGTAAACCTAAAACCCAATAAGAATCAGTTTGATGTTTACCTTCTGTATATATGTTATTATTTTTATCCAACTTTGGTGAATCGATAAAATGTATAGTTAATTTATTAATGACTTGATTACACATTTCTTTTGACAGCATTTTCTTTAATGAAAAGAGGTTTAGAGTAGACAATGCACTTGTTTTAATATTTGATATATCATTTGAGCTAGATGTTTCACTCATGTGCATGTGAAGATTCTTCACGCTGATTACTTTTTAACATTCAGTTTTTTTAGAGAAAAGCTTTATTATGTTTTAGATTTAAACACCTGTTAAACTAGAAATAGCATCAGCACTATACATAACTTGTTTGATTTTATCTATTTCTATTTCTTTGAACAATGTATAAATATTTCTAGCCTTAGGGGTGTGGTGACCTAGTGAAGTGGATAGGTTGTCAACCCCCAAGTGGCAGGTCTAGAGTTCAAATCCTAGTGATAATGAAAATTTGCAATTCTTTCTGTGTTACAGCTAACTGTCTTCCATGATTGGTTGGGATAGGATACCTGTAACCTGTGTCATACCAGCCTGACTGGAAGGTCTAGGC